ATATATATATATATATATATATTTGGTGAAACAAAGTAAAAGGGTCACTATTTAAAACAAGTGTCTTTGAAGGCTGATGCTTCTGAAGGAGCCAAAGGGCTCTGGTCCCATTGCACACCTAAGTGGGCTTTGAATATGTGAGATGGGGAAGGGAGCTACCAAGCTCTGAGCAAGAAGTGGGGAGAATTCCCAGGGGAGAGAGGAAGCTTGGAGTCGCGGTGCCCCACATTAACACCTGGCCTGTGAAAAATCCCTAAAGAATGTTCAAGAAATGGGACAGCTAGTATCAGATGTTAGGTTGTTTGCTACATGGTGAGAAAGGGTAACCCATCCCTCATGACCTACAAACCATCAATAAAAATTCTACTAACGTGCAGTGCTTGAAAAAATGATTGCTTTTAGGTGAGAGGACAGGGTTGGGTGAAGAAGGTACAGAATTATGGAGAGCAGAGAATAAGAATTCAGTGAGGGCATGAAATTGGAGACAGAGGGGAGAGGAGAATATAGGTCCCTTTGCAATTTGCAGAAAACTCATGGTGGGCATTAGATTTTCCCTTAAGATATAAGCAGGGGTTTGAGCCAAATAGATGTGTATTTTAAGGAGCATGGTGGCCCTGCTGACCTCTGAGTAACATTTGTCTAAAGTGCTCACCTTTCTAGAGAACCTTTACACTCCCTTGCATTGTTTGCTCGCCTTTGATTCTGGGTGCTCTTGCAGAGCCGGCAGGTGACCATCCCTTCAGCCCCTGGAACTGGCAACTGTGTGAGGAGGGAGTGACTGGGCGGGGGGCTGCAAGAGGCTCTTTTAGGAAATGTGGGGAGGGAAGAGATTAATGTGACTCTGAGAATGGAAGACACGTTTTGGTGGGGCCTGATAATTTGAAAAGCATTTGCAAAGCATCATTACAAGGTTCCCATCTGAGTTAGGTCTAGTGCCCTGGTGGACAGCCCTGGAGCACAGAGTTGTCACTCTGCTCTTTTCTGGGAGTGAGGTCTCCTAAGAACACGCTGTCTGGAGCTGCCCTCCTCTGCTGGTGCGGGACAGGGAGGGGTGGGGATGGGGCTGTGATCATTCCTTGCTTTTCTCAGTTGTTGACTGACACTGTTAGGCTCTGGGAAAAATTTGCTATGTCCACGTGTACTGTCCCTGATGACAATGTGATGAGCACACCCGCCTCTCTTGCTTACTCGTGTGCCTTAGGCATGTCTTGACTCTGCACAGAATTCCTTTCTGAGGACATCTATAGTGCATATTGAATGGGCTCTGTGGGAGGAAGGGACAAAGAGGGGATGGACGAAGTGGGGCACACTGTGCTAGAGTACAGCCATTAAAGGTAGAGTCAGTGATGCCGGCCTGGAGGTGAGGTTGACTGGCTAACTTGTTTCCTTTGGTCACACTCTCCACACTCACCTGCATTCCCAGCCTTTTCTCCAAGAATCTTATAATATGGTCTCTGAAAACGGGTAGTTTCCCTTTAGGGTTGGGGAAGACCCATCTCATGGGGGGGGGGGCACTGATATGGATCAGGGATGTTTGCAGGGCTGGAGGGAGGCGGAAGTGTCTGAGAAGGGAAATAAGGGCCTGTGTAGATGATTCAGCACTGACCTACCTACTAGGACATCATAAAGAGTACATTTCACATGCAGTGATTCATTCAACAAGTATTTGCTGGGTGTAGCTAAAATGCCAGGTGTTGGGGATCCAGAGATGAAAATGTACATGTGCAACCCCCACTATATGAAGCTTTAAGCAGTTTCTGTTCTGGGTTGAAGTCACAACCGCAAGCTTGTGTAGACACTATGTTGAGTTTCTTGGAAGGTAGAGGGTTGGGAGTCTGGGACCTTTGAAGGGGAAGAGGTAAGAGAGAGAGAGAGTGAGAGATTCTTTTCCTCTGAGGAGGAAGTAGCAGTAAGAGAGCCCCTCAAGGAGTGGGGACCCCTGGTCTTCTCCCTGACTGTATCTCTGAGGAGCTGGCAAGATTTTGGAGGGGATGGTACACTTGGGGGTGGTGAGATCCTGGGTCCTACAGGGAATGGGCTTGCAGTTACCCTCTAAGGTTGCATGAAAGTCATTGTCAAGTTAGAGTTCAAGGGGTCATGTGTGTGCTGGAGGGGCCACACAAATATTTTGGCAAGCATTTCCTTGGCACAACCCTAAGAGGAGGTGGCTGTGGTACTGACTGGATTGGATGCCAGACTAGAAGGTGAGGGACTCTGGTTTAATTAAAGTAAAAAGAACTCAGTGATGTTTCTAGCACATCCAGTTTGTAAACAGATATTCCTCCCTCTTACTTGACATTTTGTTTTTGTCAGAGTGGGAGAAACAACTGGGAAGGGTTTTCAGGGCAAGTATAACACCACACTTCACAGCAGCATGGACCCCTCATGCCAGGGTCCCCATGGGCTCTCTCAGGTCCTTCTTGTCACCCTCTGACAGTGTCCTTCCAGGTGTGCCTCTTGACTTCAGTGCCCGTCCCTACCCCAGAGTGAGAGTCCAGCTTCCTGCCCAGCTGTGTTCCTTAGGAATTGGCAGTCATAGCATCTGCCAAGTATGTTCCAGCAGCAGGGCCCAGGGTCAGGCATCAGAGGCCTCTTATGGTCCAGATGGGGGACAATCAGTGACAACTTATAGTGTCCTCAGCACCCCAGCTTGTGAAGGGAAGGGCCTAGGCTTGCTGGCTCAGTCCTTTTTTGGAAGAGAATAAAACCCTTCCTGACCCTTTTTAGGCTTGAAACTTGCTTCTCTTTCCAAGTCTTCCCCTCACCCTCCCAGAGAATGACCTGCAGAGAAGGAAACCAGCTCAAGCGGCAGACAGGACGAGATTCTGCTCAGAGAATTTCCCACCAAGTGCAGTCAGCAGCTGGAAGTGTCACTCCCACTACTGTTGGGGAAG